TCGCGACTTAACTACTACAAAAAATAATAATAACATGAACATTTATAATCGGCCAAATACACACCAGAAAGCATGCTCAAACTCAAAGCCTCACATTATTACACCAGTCAATGGATCAATGTGCACTTGACTTTCATTCATAGCTCTCTGGGGAATATACAAACACATGCTGTCTTTATGGCGCATCTACCTTGTACCCATTCACTGCTGAGTGAACAGAGGAATAAATATTACAAATCCCCTACCTCTATTACATCATTGCCATAAATCCTGTATTTTGGCTGCAGTCAAACTGTACTAAAATTTTCAGATTTTCAACTGGGGTCCTCTTCACTGTCAACTATACAACATTTGTTGTCCTGAAAATAGCACCAGCAGCACGAAAACCTTCACTTCTTTCCTGTGTGTGCTAGTAGACGATCTCTCTAACACTTAGCTGTGGTCACTTACACAGCTATACTTTCAGTATTTTATTATACTATATACCGGTAAGTAAATTAGTATTTGTTGGTTACTGGGCTCGATCCATGTGATTGTGATTGTGTTTGTTTATTTCCCTAACAACCCTTCATGATGGCGTCCTTTCCCCATCAATCATCCTGTCACAAGTGTGCAAGTTCATGATTTCCGGCGACCCTCATCACGAGTGTTGGAAATGCAGAACAGAAGATGACTGTTGCAATCTTTGTCTCCAACTCTCCAAGAAGGCATTCTCCCAGCTCACCAAAGCCAAGAAGAAAGATGCAGCCAAGAAGAAGGTGGACGACATCATGTTGCAGTCCGACAAGCTGACCCCTCCACCATCTGTTATGCCAGAGCAGCCTACGTTTCCGATCACTATGCTGGAGCAGCTTTTTACTTTTTGAATCTCGTCTTTCGGGTCTATCACTGGAGGCAGAAGGGCTGAAAAGACTTGGTTCCAACCAGAAGAAACCCCAAGCTAAGAGGCTGTACATGGGGACCATTTGGGGCAGAAGCCATTCAACCTTTTACCTCCAGAACAACACTCTCCCTACCTCCAAATGAGACCCATTCATCTTAGCCATCCATATCCCATCAGCGGTCCGCCTTACCCCCATGGATTGCTGCACGGTTCTACCATTAAGAATGCCACATCAGCATAGAAGACGCATCAGAGCTTTTCCACTCCAACCGACTCCAGCACGACTGCACGGGATTCATAGACGAGGAATATGAACATCTTCCAGGAAAAACGAGCACATAAGCCGATGGTTGCTGATAGATAAACCGCCATGTTGAAGAATGGAATGAATAGCAGAGAGATATCCCTCGATGGTTCCGTGACGAATATGGTTATCCTGATGGAGATGTAGGAAGAAGTCGGCAACCATGGTGATAGTGACGGTGACTTTTTCTAGTCCCAATCATCGCTGTCACTGGAATAACTTAGTCTATCTGTTGTCGTAAAGGTGAGAGGAAGACTGTCTTCATGACATAGCCACCGCTGCAGAGGCAGATTTAGAGAATCGGGGGCCTGCATTCTTTGCCTGATAGCTTACAGGTGGTGAGATGGAGGCTGGAAATGTTCTCGTACAAGAGGTAGGATCTGGGTCTATTGGGATAGTCTGTCAATTCTATCTTCTGTATCACCCTGTCGAGGAGCGACCCATGGAGGGAAGGCGTACGCAAAGAGATTGGTCCAATCCACGGACAGAGCATTGGTGTGTAAGTCTTTTGGATTCCATCTTCCCGAGGCAAGTGAGTTAACTGACTATAAAAGTCCAGTTTCCAAACTTGCCGAACTAGGCTGGTATTATGGAGTTACATTTTGGCTGGACTAACGAGTTGATGCATAGTCCAATCAAAATTGCGCTCTGAAATCAAAATCCAGTTCATAAACTTTCATGCAGATTTGGTCGATTGGAGGATTTGCAAAGCATGTGCACCGCTAACTAGCCGTCAACAGATGTTTTCTATATCTTTTCATGTTTTTAATCAAGGATGCTCACGTGATTTGATGCACTTCGCGACGTAAGACTCGTTTTATCACAATACATAAATGTATATAGATCTTGATTATCGATAAGATCGACTTGACAGGGCGCCACAGTTTTGTTTGAAGCAAATGCAAGTGATACGAGAGGTGGAATCTGATTGGTCGCTAGGAGAAACATAGAAGGGACATTTAAAGTCAGTTAACTCTCTTGCCTCGGGAAGATGTTTGGATTCAGAATCGGGATGATGTAGACTGGAAGTCGTTGGTTCAGACAAGTCGCAAAAAGAACTACGTGTGGCTTTTCCAATGTCAACGTGATCCAGGATCGATATGATCCTGCCGTGTCTGGACAGGCTGTCTGTGAGGATGTTCAATTTCCCTGGTTTATGCATCGCTTCCATCCAGCAAGGTAATGAGTCGGCCAAGTCGAATAAATGTGAGGTCTCCATCATCAGAGAGGTGGACCGGTGTTTCGACTTGCTTCTGTATGTAGGCCATGACTGTTGTGTTGTCCAAGGCAATAAGAACGAAAGAGTTGGACAGTTGGCTGTTTGCTCTTGACCAGCTTTAAGAAGTCTTCATCCAGTGCCCGTTTCATCCGGTATCAGTGGCTCATGGGTTTGATAAAACTTCCTCTTCTCTCTGTGGAGGTTATGAGAAGTGCGATTGACAATTCCCTGTGCATAGCTCGGCCATGGGAGTGTCTGAGGAAAGTGGGATGACACAGGGGTGCTGCACCCGGCATATTCTGGCATCAACGATGGACTGAACTGGTCCATGCGGGGAGTCAGATAAGACATAAACTGGTATAATGCATCTTGTAGGTGCACGAAGGATAAAGGTGTTCCAAACTCCCATGGGGGTTGAGTTACTTACTCCATGTAGTCATACTGAGATTCAGTGTCTGAATGAGAGTGGGAGGCAGCTGGGGGAGTCTCATAAAAAAAAGTCGGGCTCCAGACAGATAGGTAGATCCCTGTGGTGCCCATGCGGCCCGTCTTCTAACGGCATCCATGATTCTGGTAGAAGTTGTTTACAGGATGGCCGTCGGTACGAAGATCATGGTGTTGAGTGGTTAGCTCCATGCTCGCCAAGGAATCCCGATGGCCTGTCACTAATTGGATACACAGGATATAATGTCAGGCCCAGGACACTACAACCCTCCTGGGCTTATGCTTGGCCCACAAAATTAGAGCTTTTTTATTTTAGTTTTGAGCTGTGGGAATCACACAACACCTTCACTTCCCTTTACTTGCGTGACATTCAGCCCTATCTAAAGAGAATCTTCTTATTAGGCCCGATTGTTACCTACTGCGCAGACTATTATGAACCAATAGTCTGTCCTCCCTCCTACACACAAAAAAAAAAAGGGGGGGGGGGGCAAGGAAATTCACCTTCAGCTTCATAGGGTGAATAAGCCTTCTTGTACTATTTTGACTAGTGCACACATAGCAGTGAAGTTAAGTGGTTGATTGGAAGTGACGTCACATTCGGAAGAGAAATGAGACAGGAAGAGGCGTCATAAATACCGGAAGTGATGTCTTTAATGACGTCTTCATAATCCAAAATGACGTCATAAAAGAGAATGAGGTCATTAAGACCGGAAGTGATGTAAATAAAATGTAGTTAAGACCTTAAAACTGATGTAAGAATCATACCAGGTCATGATATCCAGGTATAGGGATACTCATAACTGAAATATCAGCAATATAACAGTAGTTTTAGAGAAAGTATCACATATGGTCTGATGATTTCACTACATGATTTTCAAGTCCTCTGGAATAATTCAACATTACATTTCTCGGGGATCTGGATCAGTTATACGATTGAAGCACAAGGTTTATTGGGTACAGCTGTCAACTATACAGGGAGACAGAACCCGCCTTTTCCCCCTGGTATATTCTGGCAATGATGTAATAGAGATAGATGATTCGTAAGAATTATGGAATAATAGTTATCATTGTTTATACTCCTTAATACTACTTCTATTACATCAGAAGTACTACCTCCCACCTCCCCACACGTCTGCCTCTAGTGGACTGATGTTTATCGGGAAAGAAGTGAAGGTTTTCTTGACACACGTAAGAGCTGTGAGCTGCTGGTGCTATTTTGGGGACAACTAATGTTGTATAGATGACAGTGAAGAGGACCTCAGGTGAAACCTTGAAAGTCTAAGTTTGGTGTCACTGCAGCCAAAATACAGGATTTATGGCAATGATGTAATAGGGGTAGTATTCTTGGAATTATATTGATAACTTTTGTTCAATATTTAAAACTAAATCTCTTGCCTCAGGAGACAACATGTGCAACACGTGCTTCAGAGTGAGGCCCGACCAAATCCCTGGCATATTCTCAAAAGTCAAGCTGCCAAACACACTGACACTTCAATTCTCATTATTTATGATGGACATAGGTCCCATGTATCTCTACCATTGATAAACTGGGTGCGTCAACATATTATTCTGTTTGTCTTGCCAATACATACATCCTATGTCTTGCAACCTTGCGACCAGTATGTAACTTGTATATATATTTGTAAAATTAATCATTTTATGTATCACGACAGCGATAAGATGTAGGTGTAAAATTTGTAGCCCTCCAAATGCACCATAGTTGCTCAAGGGAGATCACTGATGGTCAGCCAATGATCAGATCGAAATCCAATGACTCACTTTCAAGATGATTGGCTGATCGCTTTGTTATTTCAAGGGAAAAATCAATCAAGATTTGTGCAAAACATCAATAAAAAGTCAAGTTAGGTTCCATATTTATTTATCCAATGTCAGGGCACAGCAATGGTCCTTTTGTGATCGAAAACTGCATACACAAGGATCTGTAAGGGTGGTAATAGCACAGTTGTCAAGATGTTTTTCTTAAGGAAGAGAATTTATGGATGTCAACTTCTATATTATGAGGAACACGTTTTGGAGTATATGCTTACTCATTCATGAGGTGATGATACACATCATCTTCCTTATGTGTATCACTTCTAAATGCCTTTCAAAGACTCAAATGTTTTCTTGTATGGATATGTTTTACTTACAGATTTGACTGCCTCTGAACCATTGTTCTGTAGATACTCCTGGGTGTTGTTCAAGCTCTGTGTAACATTGCTGATGGTTGTCTGCATCAAAGAAACATTTTTAACGTATTTAACACATATCACTTATTGCATAAATATGGGATATTGTTAAGTGTTTGATGCTACCAGACTTCATAACTACCAAGTTATAACAGATAGAAGTGGTTGGTCATTGGATTTACTTCTCAGCTTCCAGAACGCAATCAGACGACGCTAACAGTGACGTCATGCCTGTATGCGTACAGTAAGGGAGGTAACTCTCAAGCCATCAATACGTAACATCTCCCCTTTCAAGGGTAACCTTTAAAGTCTGGAAACATTAATGCAATACTAATGGTAAAACAAGTCTTTGTTCTTAACAGCTCAGTTGCTGAAAACCGAAAGCATATTTGAAACACTTCCCAAACTTTCAACACAATAACAATTATGAATTGATTTCGTCCTTAGTAAGGCACACAGTTCATAACATAAAAACTAAACAGTTCTTCGTCCTTTCAAAAAGGCTTACAGTCCATAACACAATTTTACTGCAAAACAGCTTTACTTTAAAGTTCTTAATTTGTAAGATAAACTCTGAATCTAGACGGTTGTTTGATCACACGACCACGAGAAGTTCTCTTCTCAGTTGTCTCACTTGACTGTCTAGTTGTCTGTGCAGGAATCTGAACTCTCTCTGTAGTTTTGCTTGATGTTTGGTCTACAGGCTTGTCAGTACAGTTCCTCATAGGAGTTTCAGCGGAAGTTCTTTCCACACACAGATCTGGTTCTAACCGGTTCCTTTCAGCCATATCTGTATCCACAAACAATGGAGGAGCTTCATGAGACTTTCTCAAATGTCGTCTGTTTCTGCGCAAGTTACTGCCATCTTCTGTACGCAGTTCATACGACCTCACATCCACCTGTTGTTCTATAACAGCTTTCTTCCACTGTTTGTCGAACTTAGTAGGCTTGACTCTTACCACATCTCCCTCCTTCAGAGCAGGAAGTTCGTGGTGCCTCGATTGAAGTAGTAAGCTTGTTTAGATTTTTTACAAGCTATCTTGTCTGACACACCATCAACGGTCTTTGGTTGTAAAAGTGTACTTGCTGTTGGGAGTTTGGTCTTTGTTCTCCTGCTAAAGAGTCGCTGTACCGGAGAAAATCCTATTCCCTCTGTTGGAACATTTCGCCAGTCCAGGAGAGCTAAGTAAGGATCAGTTTGGGCATGTAGTGACTTTGTCATCAGCTTCTTAGCTATCTTCACCGCGCTTTCAACTTTCCCGTTGGATTGTGGGTAACGAGGTGACGACGTAACATGCTCAAATTCATAGTTGTCTGAGAACTTACGAAAAGCTTCAGAGTTGAACGGTGGACCGTTATCGGAGATAATCTGATTTGGAATCCCATGTCTAGCTAGATGTGACTTGAGCTTCTTGTTGATTTCAGGAGCTTTCTTGCTGTGGAGTCTGTCAACTTCAAAGAAGTCGGAATAATAGTCCACAGTAATCAAAAAGTCTTTCTCATCAAACTCAAACAAATCGCAACCCAGTTTCTCCCAGGGACGAGTAGGAATATGATGACTGATCAAAGGCTCCCTGCTTTGGTCTTGTTGTAGGGTGTTGCAGGTTTCACACTTGCTTACAAGATCTATTATCTCCTGTCCCATGTTCGGCCAGTAGACAAGTTCTTTTGCTCGTCGTATACCCCCTTGCACACCGATGTGGCTTGAGTGAATTCTCTCCATGATGTTGCCACGTATACTTGCAGGTACAACAACACGCTCGCCCTTGAATACTACGCCATTCTGCATAGAGAGTTCGTCCCGAAAGGTAAAGTACTCACTTACTGAGTGTGGTACATCTTCCTTTGACGGTGGCCAGCCTTGCTGTATGAGCTGCATCAGCTTGCTCATGCAAGTATCTTTACTTGTGGCTTGTTTCAGTTCAGCTAGTCTCTGTTGAGATATGGATAAATGCTCGACCATTTGAATTGTCTCAATGTCAATAGCTGTTGGGCTCCTCATGTCTATCATCAACACTTGGCCTTCGTCAGTGATCAATTGTCTGTCATGTGGTAAGTACGCACGACTTAATGTGTCAGCCATGAACATCAGGCTTCCTTTCTTGTACACCACTGTAAAGTCGTACTTCTGCAACCGTAGCATCATGCGTTGCAGCCTTTTAGGTGCGCTCAGGAGGCTCTTTCTCAAGATGGACTCTAAAGGTTTGTGATCTGTCTCTATGGTCACCTTGCGTCCATACACATACTGGTCAAAACGTTCCAGTCCAAAGACTATTGCAAGCATTTCCTTTTCTATCTGAGCGTAATGTTGCTCTGTGCTTGTCATTGATCTGGATGCATATGCCACTGGTTGTCCATCTTGCATAAGACAAGCTCCGAGGCCACTTTGTGAAGCATCACATTGGAGATGTGTGACAGCTTCTTTATCAAAATATTTCAGAACAGGAGGTTCTGACAGAATGTGCTTAATCTTCTCCAAGCACTGTCCATGTACAGTGTTGTCCCATCGAAAGTTCACTTCACCTTTCAGCAGATCCCTCAGTGGAGCGGTGATTTTAGAGAGATTGGGTACAAACTTTTGCACATAGTTGACCATCCCCAAGATGCGTTGCACACCTTGTTTGTCAGTAGGTGAAGGCATTTTCTTTATAGCCTCAACCTTGGTCTCATCAATTTGGAGTCCATCAGCAGTGAGTACATGACCCAGGTTGATGTCCTTCGCTCGACAACAATTAAAAAGGGCGATCAATTTCTTGTCGTGATCGACCTCAGCATCCTGATCAGTTTCTCCCACGCCGTAAACTAAGATATCATCATGAATCGCACGAACACCATCCAGTCCAGATATGGCATCATTCAGTCGTCGTTGGAACTCTTCAGGAGCTGGTGAGAGGCCAAATGGCATACGGAGCCAACGGTACTTTCCCCAGGGAGTTTCAAACGTTGTCAGGTAACTGCTCTGTTCATCCAACTGAACATGCCAGAACCCATTTTTGGCATCCACCAAAGAGAAACATTTGGCCTTGGCCAACTTAGGCAACACATCATCTATAGTCATTATCGGATAATGGTTTCTCTTAAGTGCCTTGTTTAACGGTTTCGGGTCGATACAGATCCTGATTTTGTTTGTCCTCGGTTTCTGCACCACCACCAAGGCTGACACCCAGTCTGTTGGTATGTCAACAGGTGTAATAATCTTCTGCTCCGTCAGTCTTTCCAGTTCAGATTTCAGCTGAGATTGTACAGCAACAGGAATCTTGCGACATGGTAACTGTACTGGGGTTACAGTATTGTCAACCTCCAAGTGTAGAAAGCCTTCCAGAGTTCCCTCACCATCAAACAAATCCTGATAATTTTGTTTGATATCAGTCATTTCCAGTTTCCCAGGCTCAAGTGAAGAGTCAGCAGTTAGATTCACCTCGGGTGATTCCATCAACAGAATATTGTCAAAGTTCACAGTGATCAGTTGCATCTGTTGAACAGCTCGTGCCCCTAATATTGGTTTGCATCCCTTCTCAGACACAATTAGAAACTCAACACTGTACCTGCGACCATTCTTGGGGTTTTGTAGTGACACACGTATCTTCCCAAGAGGTTTTGTCTCAGCACCGTTGTACATTCGCAGTGTGGAAATCAGATTAGCGTCCAATTTACTGAAGTTGTCATCCCTGAACACTTGAGAATACACAGAAGAAGGCAGAATGTTAACAGTTGACCCACAGTCAAGTTGAAATTCAACTTCCTCTCTATTCACAACCAATGTTGCAAATATCCTTTTGGGGTAATTCTGATTGACCAAGTTCATTTCATCAACTTGTACAGAATTGACACAGTCAGAAGTTACAGACATTACAAACTCTTCAGACTCACTATCTTCCGTATCACTATCCACCATGTGAACCCTGTCTTTGCTCTTTCCAGGACACAAAGCAGCAAAGTGATTTCTCTTTTTGCATTTTGCACAAGTCTTACCCCATGCCGGACATTCTTTCTTTTGAAACTCATGCCTCTTTCCACAGAACTTACATTTGAGCAGTTCAGATGTTTTGATCTGTTGCTTAGCATTAGGTTTCTGTGACTTGTTGGGTTTCCTTTGACTTACAAACTGAACATCTTTGCAAGATTTCTTAATACTGCAACATAAGAATCAATGGACTCGGATTGTTCCTGGTCCCTTCTGTTGAAATTGTATCTTTCCCAAGTTTCATTTGTTTCCCCTATACAATAATGTTCAAGTTTTTCCAGTATTTTGTCCACCTTCTGTCTATCTGCTTCATTTTCAAATTCTAATCCATCTACAACGTCTAAGACATCTGGACCAATACATGTCAATAGGGTAGCCGATCGACATTCCTCACTATCAGTCCTAGTGCGAGAAGCAAGCTCATAATTTTCCCACATTCGTTTGAATTTCTTGAAATTTCTAGACAGATCACCTTTCAGATCTAATCTAGTAGGCAGTGGAATGTTAACTGGTATGTGAACAACTTGGAGTGCAGCCTGATTACCTTCTGCCATGATCAGTCAACAACAGTAATCAAGCAATATGGCGTAATGGCTTTCCGTAGATTCAATTACACACAGAATAGTATTCAGTCAGTTCAGATAGAAAAAACACCGTTGTTCTCATAGATCATATCAGAAACAGTTCAGATTACTGGTTGAAATCCCTTACAGTCAGAGTATATATCAAATTTCACAACGAAATATGACACAGTTCAGTAGATTTACCACGCCGTATCGGTATCACGAAAATAGGTGACATGCATCAGAAACGCACGCGGTCAGTCAGACAGGGAACAGAAACAGTCAGAATAGGGAATTTCAACACAGTTCAACGTTATGATAGCAATCTAAGTTTTACTTCTGACACCATGTTAAGTGTTTGATGCTACCAGACTTCATAACTACCAAGTTATAACAGATAGAAGTGGTTGGTCATTGGATTTACTTCTCAGCTTCCAGAACGCCATCAGACGACGCTAACAGTGACGTCATGCCTGTATGCGTACAGTAAGGGAGGTAACTCTCAAGCCATCAAT